CCCTATGCAGTCGATTCCGAATCGTCTGGCCACTCACTCTCACACCAGTGTCTGTTTGAAGACGAGCGCTGATCTGATTTGCTGTGATGACACGATTTCTCAAGGCCAAGGTACGGATAAATCGATCCTGGGCTTGAGTTGTCGCCCTTGGTCGACCTGAGCGTGGTCTGTCCTGTACAGATTGTGTATCACGGTATTTGGACCATAGCCTGCTTATGACAGACTGAGAAACATTCATCGTCCGCGCCACAACCGCCTGTGTTGTGCCGATCCGTAGCGTGCCAAGGGCACGTAACCTTTCATTTTGGGTAAGCCAACGCATATCAAAATTTGTTTTCTGGTCACTAAAACAATTAAACTGATGTTTCCACCCTGGAATTCAATGCCACAATGACTGTAACATTCAAAGTCAGAGTCGTGCAAATCTTGGGTTGGACCCCCATGATGATCCCAAGCATCACCTGCATTCCATGCGGTAGCTATTGGTGCGTTTGGGCGTCACATGTAACTGGAAATGTTCTTCTGTTAGGTTCTATAGTGACTTTTTTCGTAGTCATTTGCATATTTTAGTATTATGCCCCCAAAATCAAATATCCCCTACTTTTTTTGAATAGTATATATCAGTACAGTTGTACGTACATTATAGACGATAGTCCAGTTCGACTACCGCATACTCGTCTTATTAAATAATTCAATAATAAGGTCACCTCATTGACATTTATGACCTAGAGATAGATATATTTTGTTATGAGGTTCTTTAGGTCGCCCGTCTTAATAGACTAGGTCGTAAGGAAGATATACTTGAGATTATTCAACATACTTTTCCTTATATTGACAAGTTTATAAAACATTCGACCTTAGCAACATGCGGATTTATTTCCTCTCAACATGTCGTCTGGAAATAATACGTGACAAAAGTGAGATTTTAAATACTTTTAAGAGTTTATGTATTTGTAAATTAGAAAATGTTTCTGTTTTTATTGTAACAATATAAAACCAACACCCCATCATTTACTTACAGGTAATTAAAGACCATTTACCTTGTCCATCGTCATTAACCCGGTTGATGTAGAAAATAGGATGTTAAACCTTATTTCATGACATTTGCTATATCTAAACACTTTCTTAACAAACGGTTGCCATGCAAGATGCGCCAGCATTTTGAAAGAGATGGACAGAGAACCATCTAAAAAGCGATTTTTGGTACAATCAGGGGCCATAATTCAGGAAGTTACGGTCAGATATGCACCAATACCGGAAGGAAGCGAGATCTTGGTTGATATATAAATATAGAAGTTTCATCAAAATCGGATAAAAATTGTGACCTCTACAGGCTCCACGAGCTAAAACATGATTTTCTTACAATACTTTTAAACTATTTGCGTAAAGGGGAGCTATCAGTTTGACGGGAAATGTCGTTCCGATTTTCACGAAATTCGAACTCAGCCTCCATTATGGTGTAACGGTGTTTGGACGGTTTCTAAAACCGCGAGTTCTAGAGGGTGCACAAGCTAAAAACGCAATTTTTTGTACAATCAGAGGCCATAATCCAGGAAGTTACGGTCCGATGTAAGCCAATATCGAAAGGAACCGTGATTTGTCGTACGACCAGGGGCCATAATTCATGAAGTTGCGGCCAAATACACACAAATACATGTGCTGGCATGTCTCCCCAAATTATATATTAAACTAAAATTCGTAACGTTTAATAAAACTGGGTTTTACATTGCCATGACAACCAATGTTTACACGGGACCTCGGTTGTTCGTCCAATCGGAACGACAATAAACTGTCCCTTGCCAGGCCTTCTGTCCTGTAACACTTTGGTCCTTGAGACAATTTTTGTTTCGATTCCCCGGTTGTACGTGACAACGAGTAGGGTCGCCTGTCCAACCTCGTGGGTTTTCTCAGGGTCCTCCGGTTTCCTCCCACTATTAAAGATCCCTACGCACAAGCGAATGATTGAAATAAAATTGAACCATGTGTTAGTCCCGAAATGACCTAGTTTGTGTCGAGTGGACGTTAAACCCCATTTCTCTCTCTCTCTCTTTGCAAAATTGTTACTTCTCTCTGTCTATAGAGTTAAATCACACGTACTTAATGAACGTGAATATATAGTTATACATAAAAAACAGTGATATTTTGGTTAAATCATAATCAATGTCAAAATATCCATCAAATTCTGGCTGTTTATTGACCTATGGTTGGTAGACCAAAATAAGGCAACTTCTCCCATTTTAGTTGTGGGAAATAAAGAGGTTTATTCCATATATGGGATGGAAATTAACGTCAAGGTTATCGAAGACCTGCAGAAATTAGGGGGTATAAATTAGGGTGTAGAAGCGAGTTGGATCAGAACTCATTCAGAAATTCCTAGCAGCCATTATTATTGAGAACAAGGAACCTGCAAAGCCATTACAGCTAAGCAATAAAGTTATGAAACTATTTTATGCTGTAGTCTTGTTACTGTCACCAAGAAACAAACACAACAAATAAGAAATCCTATAGTACTACAGAACGTAGCCGGAAAATCCGGATGAACTTTCCTGACCAACGCAGGGATCAAACAGGGGATATGCAGGTTAGCGAGCCAACGTCTTACACATTGGGTAGAAAAGATAAAACCGAAGAGAAAAATAATTGCAAGTTTTACAAAGGAAGGTTTGGCAATCAGTATATATATTATGGAGGACTAGCTACTTAACACTATTTAGAAATTATTTTTTTTTATAGCTTGGAGAAACGGCTGAAAATAAAATTGGTGTAGCCTAAAGTAACTAAAGGGCCATGTTTGCAACAAATAATAACCACGAACAGAGTTGACAAGATATTCAGAATATTTACGCTCGAGTTTATGTATTGGCTATTAAATAACTTGAACCCGTTATATTTTTTAAAACTCGGTTTATAGGATAATTCATTGGGGCATATGGAAGCCCTGTGTCGAAATTCAAAATTTTCATACGTTCCTTACATTTATTTTCTCGTTTACATTTGTACTCTAAAGGTTTGTGAAGGTGACAAAGTTCTTTAAGGAAACACGCCATTGACCTACTTTCACTTTCTAGTTCATAGAGTCATGGGCCGAAAGGCTTATATGGTCACTTCGTCCACCGTCCTTCCGTCTGAAACATTTGTCATTGTCGACTTCTTCTGTTAAGCCGCCCGATAGCTCTCAGTGATATGGTCTAGTTATGTTCCCAGGGTGGTGGGTTTTCAGATTTGTTGAAATGCATTCACTTTCCCAAAATAGAAGATGGGCCCGAAAGGCTTATGGTCACTTCGTCCACCGTCCTTCCGTTGGAAACATTTGTCATATTCGACGTCTTCTGCTAAACCGCTCGATGGCTTTCAGTGATGTGGTTTAGTTATGTTCCGAGGTTGGTGTGTTTTCAGATTTGTTGAAATAAAGTTATTTTCCAAAAGTAGAAAATGGACAACTAGGGGACCTTTAAGGTTCAAACTTTAATATGGTTTACAATTAACCAAAATTGATAGAGATGTTGCTTGCACGAGGCTTCTTCATAATGGCTGAATGGATTTGGTAGGAATCATTCCTAGATGATAAAGGTAAAGGCGTGATAAAAATGAAAGGGCGGGACCCCATAAGGACGGAGCGGGACAAGGGGCACCACAGAGAGACTGATTTAAACAGCTCCGAAAGTTACTTGGTGGATTTTGATATGAATGGATTGGAATCAGGTTGTCGTTAGTCACGATTGTTCAAGTTAGATCCTCGACCTCATTGGGATGTGGTCGAATGGTTATACGCGTGCGCGTTGGATCAGATGGTCTGTCATTGAGTCGAGTGGTGTGGTTTCGATTACCCGGGGGATCACGTGGCTAAGTGGGTAAGACGCTAGCTCGCTAGCCTGGAGGTCGGGTGTTCGATCCCTGCATTGACCGAGAAAGTTCATCCAGATTTTCCGGCGTGGTTCTCCCTTGTCAGTGATGCAGGACGGAGGGGCTGACAAGGAAAGCTGTCTAGTCGTTCGGATGGGACGAACAACCAAGGTCCCGTGTACACATTGGCGTGCACGTAAAAGATCCCTTGGCAGTTGGAATTCGATATAAGAGTAGGCCGTAGTGCCGCTGTCCGGGCAAAATTTCTCTCATAGCACATTGTATGGCGTATGCCCGTCTTCATTAGCCCAGGTTAGGAGCAGAAAAGTAGGACGTTAAACTCCATTTCATTTTCTTCGATTCCCCGCTTGTACGTGAAGTAGGGTCGCCTGTCCAACCTCGTCGGTTTTCCAGTACTGGGTACTCCAGTTTTCCCACACTGCTAAAGACACCTACACGCAAGCGAATAATTGAAATGAAATTGAACCATGTGACCTAGTTTGTGTCGCGTGGACGGTAACCCCCATTTCTTTCTTTCTCATAGGGGTGTATAGCAGCGTTAGCTTAATTAGCTAGGGGTTGCAACCAAATAAGGGACACTTTTTTTAAACAAAGATACATGGTCCTAAAAGCTGGGGTATATGCTTTGGACCCGGTGGACAGGGATGATCTACTCGAGGGCGTCTATTTTGACATAGCGCGACATAACTTTGTATATTTCAACTAAATTTTGTTTAGTTCATCTTAAGCATGCCGCTTTTGAAATAATAATCAATTGGTGCTGTGTTGTAGGCATTTGTATTCTTACTAAGCTAAATTGCCTTTGCACACATACTGTCAACCCTTCGGGAAGTATGTGGCACACCTACGGATACGGTCTATATTTTAATGGGAAATTACTTAATTAGACTAGAGTTTATTATATTAAAATGTTAAACAAATAACACTGAGTTGAGAGAACGATTAACTGAATGTTATAAAATACATGTCAGTCGTCGTTTATCATAATATACGTACATATGTATAATAATTGGGGTAATATGTATTCTATTACTCTCTAATGATTGGATAAAATATTGAACGGGTATACATGGAAAACGATTACTCCCTGGTATACGTGACTATTCATTGCAACACACGAGAAGGCACAAGGTCGAATGTGGTACCGGCGACCTGGGTTCAGAACATGCAACCGCTTCTCAATTCTCTAAACTGACAATAATTTTCGGTGTTTTCGGAGCAAGTGTAAACTCATAACAGTAACAGGTTTTCTTTGAACAAGTGACGTAGTTAGAGAAACTTCCCTAGCAGACGATATTTCGCGCGCGTTGTTAATATGGATGATGACTACACACGTGCTTAAAGGTGGTAAATTGGGATTATTGTCATGTAACATTTTAGGAAGTTCTTTTAATCGTGCTGGGCTGTTATGTAGTGTAATTTGAAGATAAAGTATGACATTTATTAGTGTAGCAAAGTTTAGTGATGAGAGGACTAAAGAGCAAATGGTGCCTTGTGTTAAGCGGGCTATTGTTCGCTACCGGCGTCCTATGTAAGTATGCTGGATATAACCACACAATGTTTTTGATGCAGGGAGCGGTCATTGTAGCCTGCCCTATAACAGTAATATCTTGATTTGCAAACTTTATTTTGATACGTTAGGGTTATTATTCTATTTTATTGGCTTAGAATACTTGATTAAAGATCGGATAAAATATCTGTGATCCAATGACTTTAAGTGAACGAAACATTACTAACAATAAAGTATTGTTTATTCTAAGGCGTGACGCATTATTGCTTCGGAAGTGACTTGGCAAAATTTATGAATCCAATCGGAACAAATAAGGTGTCGAATATGGATCTATGAGTATGATCACGGGTCTAGATTTTTGGGAGCTATTACGAAATCTGAGACGATGTAAAGGTTTAAGAAGAATTTTGACTGACGTCATCATTAATGACTTCTACACGGCTGATAACTTTGAAACTTTCGCTAATAATCTTTTGAAAAATTCGACTGGGCTATATAAAATGTCATATTTTGTATGGTTATGACTGTACGTGTTAATCAAACATTACTAATGGCCTCGTCTTCTTGAGCCCGGTCGGTGCAGACAAGATGGACGTTAAACCCGATTTATTTCCTTTTCCATTTCTGAAGCCATTATAAATATATTATGACTATTAGTTTACCGTCGTCATTAGCCCAGGCGGAGCAGAACAATAGGACGTTAAACCCCATTTCATTTCTTATTAGTTTATATTCCAGTCAAAAGGCCGACATTTCCCAGTTGATTCAAGGCCAGACTGTTGCTCGCGAAAACGCAAAACACAACAGTAATGGTTTAAAGAAAATACTAACATATAAAACTATTAACTTTGCTCACTTCCTTTTGTCTTTTTTTATTCGCAATCAAAATGAGCAATAAAATGTGTTTAAGATAAGAAGTAGTTAATATTATTTAAGTCAAGACATAAAAGTAAGAATAAATTTATAAAGATGATGTAAAATGTCACGAATAATAGTTTATGTAGCTCTTATTTACTTTACAAAACACTTTATATTATCTTATCTAAAAACGATCTTATCAGTAATATTTGTATTATTTTCCCCCATTCAGATTAGACGCAAGTCACGCAGTTGACTTTAAAAACTAACTACATTTTGTACTGTTGTAAATGTTTTATTACTCTCATTTATTTCTAGAGGCATTTATTTTTCAAATGAAATGGTTTTGGGTAGATTGTTTGCCACTCCTTTGCTAAATCATAAGAATTTTAACGAAAAAATTTAACCGAGGTATTAAGATCAAGGGTGTAGCCTGGTATTGATTCTATAGCACTTCTTTAACTAGAGTTATATTTATTCGAGACAAAATGACAAGGTAATGTTTTGATTTTCTAGTGGAAAGTATTGTAATATATTTCAAGGTCTCTGTGAATAATAAAAGTTTTTGTTTACTTTATAAAAAAATGGTGACAAATACCGTTCATTTAGAATTTCCCAACAAGTAGTTATTGCACCCATATTTCAACGTCCTTGGGTCGACCTATATTTTCTCACCTTTTATATAACCAAAATATTATGGTGCATTGATTGTATTGCTGTGAATTCAACGTTGGAATGAAACGGGGCGGTGTAATATTAATATCGTTATCAATCATTTAGTGTAGGTGTGTGACCATATCCAGGTTATACACAATGTGGCGAATTTTTATAAATTTTGTCCAATATAACGAATTTGCGTATTTTACTTTTTGAACAGCTTCAGGCAAATTGATTGAATATCTATATCACTTTCCTCCGCTTTATATTGGTGTGTGCTTTTATTTACGTCCACTTCAATCGAATTGATACTCTGTAGAAGTGATTACTTTTAATACCGATCAAAAATTCTGAAAATATGGATTTAATTGCAAATCTAACCCCCTCTAATGAGCAAAATTGTTAGCGAACCGGATCACTGACCAATTTTAGTAAAACATATTTTGAATAATTATGTTTTCTATATTAAAAACAAACAACTAAAAGTGACAATAGGGGACCATCTCGAAATTTTGAGCTTTATTGGTAAGGGGATAATGTCTGAAATGGGACAAAATCCGATGTTAACCAGCACTTAGCAAAGAGTTTCGAAACTTCTCATAGAACAATGAAATTATATACCAAATCCAGGTTCCATATAAAAGAGCTTCTCGGTTGAACCATCTCAGTCACCGAATGCTTGTAAAGATAGCATATATTGCTGAACTACATCTTAAAAGAACAGCTGACAAAAATGTAATTCCTTCTCGTAACCGTTCTTTTACACATTTTAATTTCATAACCTATTATGATTGAGTTTTGGAAGCTCCGCGTCTATTTTAATCTCACAAACAATGCGAAATCTATCAATATTTTCTAAAACGCCACTCAATATTAACCGACAATAATGACATAGTGACAGTGGATTACATTTGAACATCTGTTGAGTTATGTATAGACTTGTATATGTACACGCATAAGAATAAAAAAAAACGAACGAATAAGCATATTATAACAAATACTTGTATACTATATAGGACTATTATGTTTAATTTTAGTAGTTTTGAGTGTTGTTATTACATTATTTAACAAAATAGCTGATCATTATGACAATATCTGTAATGCTGGATGCTGGTCATAATTCAGTTAATATAGAGATCGAATAATGATCATTATTATTATATCACACGGGTCGCATATTTAGGATATTTTCATTGCGGGGTTTTATTATGATTGCATGAAACCAGTATTATATCCATATTAATTTTCTGAATGAAAGTGCGTAGGTTTTTGTTTTATTCCAGTCGTCATCTGTTAAATGGTTATAAACTTGAATAGGGGATCATTCCGCCATTTGTAGTTAAAATTCCCGCAGATATTCTTTAGTTCTTTAGTTGTTCGAATTTTTGTCAGTGTTAGAGGGTTTATTTACAGTGGAAAATATATTTTTTCGACAGTAACTTGTAAATATGATTTTGCTTGATATTATGTTATTGATAATGTTACTTGGCATATTGACTGGTAAGTATCAATTTTTAAAGTCATACCAACACAGACTGAAACTGTTCATGATTTTCCTATCATCTTGTATTGATTTTTAAAGATTGGGTAGTTCATGTAGAGATTTTAAAGTTCTTTTGTCGTTGAGGTACGTTATTTTATGTTTGTTTCAGTATTTTTGTCAAATGTTATAAAAGTAACGGTGAATTAGCCACCAGCAAAAATTATCAATATTGATATATGAATATATTGATTCCTAGATTAATTATGTAATTCTAAGGTAATCGTTCGTCTGAATGTGTACGACAAGCCTATAGTGGCAAGGAATGGGGTGTGCGATAAATTATTATCTGTAACCTGTGATGAATGCGACCACTCTTTAAATAGTAAAATAAATTGAGTCTCTGATAGTCATATTTGTGTGGATTAAGCCGAGAAAAATAAGTTGACCAAAATATGAATATGATGATCGACTTTAATATTGACTATACAGTTACAGCGGAAATGATAGATTTTTGTTGAATTATCTTTAATGAATCGTACAAACGTTTGAGTGTTTTCTGGAAATTTACCGAATGAGTTTGTGCTAAATTTGTCAAAATATTATTCAAAATCAATAACATTTAATTTTTGATGCCGGTGATAAAATGTCTGCCTGGTGCAGTAGGTGAGTAGGCATCCATTACTCGGGCCATCCCAAAACCTCTGCACGTCACTGTTAAGATCGAGAGCAAGAAATTTTATTGAATTTCAATTAACACTGATTAATAGCAGATCAAAGATAAGAATATGATGACTGTTTTGCAAACACAGTATAAAATATGAGTTTGTACAAGTTGCGGTTTAACCCATCTCACATTTCTTCTTTCCATGTTTCCACACCCGGCTGACATTTATGTAACCGTGCTTTTACATTGTATAATGCGGAAGACACAGATTTTGCCCCCGTGCAAGAACAGTAACCTTCTATCTGAACAAAGTGTGCGTCCTATTATGTGGGTGGGCGTAGCAAAGAATTCTTTTAAAAAATACTTTAAAATCACGGTCGAATTATGTGTAGCTACGTGTAGATTATGTAAATTGTCTATTTTGTGAACATGTTGTTATCACCTGATGACGTGTTCTGTTTGTAAAAGAGGAGAAAACTTAATGTGTTCAGTATTTCGAGAAATAAAAAATCGGGCGACTAAAATAGTTTTATGAAATTATGGAGAGACAAAGAAAGGCAACTTGGACATCCGTTGCGATATATTATATAAATGCAGTTATGCGCAAAACGAAACAACCCTGTAAATCAAATCCTATATACCCGTACATTGTAGGCACCTAACTATATATTATTGTTAATATAAGTATAATAAAAACAAATATCATTACTTTAATTCTTGTTTATACCACCAAATTAAAATGATAGTCATTTCCCTCATCCGTCCGTCCGTCCTTCCGTCCGCACGTTGGTTTTGTCGTTGACAGTTGATTTACCCTCTAGATGTGTACCCTCTAGATGCAGGCCCTGACAAGGACAGCTGTCTAGTCTTTTGGATGGGACGAAAAATCGGGGTCCCGTGTACACATTGGCGTGCACGTAAAACCTCCCTTGACAGTTGGAAATTCGATAGAAAATTAGGCCGTAGTGCCGCAGTCCGGGCAAAATTTCCCCATATATCATAGCACACTGCATGACATATGCCCGTCTTCATTAGCCCAGTCAGAGCAGAACAGTAGGACGTTAAACCCCATTTTTTTTCATTTTAATTCCATTTCTCTAGATGCATCGGACATATGTCCTCTGCCTTTTACTCAAAATGCGATGTACAATGTTATGGAGCGGGATTTCCACCATAATTCTAACTCCTAACCATGTAGTGCGTATGCTTATATGCTTACTTCTAAAATGATATTTGCTAACGCAAATTCAAGCATTTCTTGAGGTATAACATACGCCGGTCGTCCATATCTACCTCTAGATTTTTCAGGTCAAGTAGGCCTACCGGTCCCGTTGTCTTCTTCTATTACCCCCAACGAAAGTGCCTCAACTGCCACTTCAAAACAATTTAAACAATCATTTACATCGGTAAATTCCGATAATTGCAAAATTAAGTCAAGCTTGACCTCCCACTCCAACCTAAATGAGAAACTGGTACCATTTCTAGATACGATTCGCGCGGCCAAACTTAATAATTTTTATACGCCCACATTTTCATGTGGACGTATATTGTCGTCGCCCCTGTCCGTCCGCTCGTCCGTCCACAATTTGTTTGTGGACACTGTACAGGTCACAATTTTTATCCGATTTTGACGAAACTTGAAATATAGGTCTATCTCCCAAAGATCTCGGTTACTTTCTATATTGACATGTATCGGACCATAACTTCATGGATTATGGCTCGTAATTGTACGAAAAATCACGTTTTTAGCTTGTGGACGCTCTAGAGGTCACAATTTTGATCCGATTTTGATGAAACATAAAATACATGTTTATAACTTCCTGAATTATGGCCCTTGATTAAACGAAAAATCGCATTTTGAGATTGTGGTCTCTATAGAGGTCACAATTTTTATCCGATTTAAATTAAAGAACATAATGACTGCCCCTTGTACGCAAATAGTGTAAAAATATGATATATCAAGGTTGTGGACCCTCTAGAGGCCACAGTTTCTATCCGATTTGGATGAAACTTTAAATATATGTTTTTATCATAATGATCTTTGTTCCTTTTGATAATCACACATAATCACAATTTTTTTTTTTCGATTTTAAAAACCGTTTGGATATATCACCATTCCGCCATAATGAAGGTTGAATTCGAATTTCGGGAAAATCGAAATGAAACTGTCCGACAAAACGGCCGGTGTTTGTACGCAAATTGTGTATAAGCATGTAATACAAAGGTTATGGACACTCTAGAGGTCACAATTTTTATCCCTTTTGATATTTGCGCATTTCAGACCATAACTTTCTGGATTATGGTCCCTGATTGTACAATAAATCGTTTCAGTTTTAGTTTGTTCTCTATCCATCTCTTGCAAAATGTGTGCGTATCCTGCCTGCCAGCCGCTGGTTCTTTTACAAGATTCTTCATTTGCAAAACAATGCCATCTTCAGAAGACATTTTGTAAATAAATTCGACCCCGACCTTCATCTATTTACCGTAAATGAGTCGCAAATGGTGTTTAACGTCCACTTGACACAAACTAGGTCATTTGGGGACTAACATCTAACATATGTTTTTTTAATTTATTTTAGAATAATTCGCTTGCGCGTGGTGGTCCTTAGCAAATTGAGGAAACCGGAGGACCCGGGGAAAACCAGCAAGGTTGGACAGGCGATCCTACCCCTTGTCTCGTACAATCGGGGAATCGAAGCCAGACCATTCGGCCATCCACCCCCACCCCTAATGGAAATAGAATAAAACACAAATTCTAACTGCAATTATTAAGAAATAAGTTAACATTTTTACATGTGTAAATAGCGAATTTAACATATGTTAGTAAGAAGTTACATGCATAGAAGTAAGCATATTAGCATACGCATTACCACGTATCTTCAATAGAAGGCTTGATCTCGCTTTAACTCCGTACATCTTATGAAGAAAGACCTTCACGTAATACCCGGGAAATAGAACAAAACACAAATTCTAACTGCAATATTTAAGAAATAAGCGAATTTAACATATGTTAGTAAGAAGTTACATGTATAGAAGTAAGCATATTAGCATACACATTACCACGTATCTTCGATAGAAGGCTTGATCTCACTTTAACTCCGTACATCTTATGAAGGCCTTCACGTATTACCCTGGATATTTCGGCACTAATTTCGATTGGGTATTCACCCAACTTGAGAGCCTATCAGATTCCCCGATCATCGCGAATACCAAGTCCCGCGCTTTCCAGCTAAAATGTCTATCTATGATAATCGAGTTGCAAAGTTCAAGGTTCGTTCAATGTCAAAGTTTCCGTGAGGGTCGCTATATTTGATTGGACGTTACGTAACTGTTCACGTGTGTGCAGTAAATGGAGATAACCTAGCGATAAGTTTGGGAATTGTAAAGCAATCTAGCAACGTCCAGATGTTGTAAAACTTGCAGTCGTTGCTTCAGGAACAAGGTTAGGAGTTAGAATTATGGGGGAAATTCCGCGCCATACAAGGTTTATAGACTCCACAGGCCACAATTTTTGTCCGCTTTATATTTTCGCTGGCAACATGGTAAATGTTTATAAAAGCGTAGGAATGTTATATTTCTTGTAAATATTGTACTCGAATGACGAAGTGATCAATTAATTAATTGAGTTTGATCATAATTGTAAAATATTATCTCCTTTTATTTCAGATGCTAGTGTTAGTCTTCCATCTTTTACTTACGTACAAGCAGATGGCGCAATAAAGCTAGAGAAACAGAGCGGCATATTCCATTATAAGGGGCGAGTCAAGCGATCAAATCGCAATCTTAGAAACGTATTAATAGATCTTGAAGTGAAACCCGAATCGCCCTACACTCAGAATCTCCAGGAGCTGGTTCATCATACAGCTCCGCAAGATATATTGCATCATCCCCGGGTACAAGAATGGTGCCACAGACCTGATAGCACATTTTCAGGAATGGAGGGTAAGTCTTTTTTTATGGTTAGCACACACCTACAATTTTTTGGAGGTGATTTGTTGACGCGAAACACGTAGCTAATGTTCGATCGTGTTTTAATATGAAACAATTCTAAATGGTGGGTCCTTATAGTTATTTTTGTACTACATAAAGATTTAATTTTTAAAATAAAACAATTGATTAAATGTGTATTAGTTGTAATGTATATTTTATTACAAAAGCTCCCATGGCACATTTATGTTTTAGAATAAGTAAAGAAAACCTCCCAGCAAGTCCCAAGTCCCAGATTTTGTCTGTAAAAACCTCATACCTGCAGGTTGGAAGCAGCTACTGCAATATTAGTGAATATTGTAACATAAATTGTCTCAGTTGCATTTTAGTGTAAAATAAACTTGATTAGTTGAATTGCGTTCCTTACTTTTATTAAGATTTTTTGTTGTTAAAACAGTCTGCATTTCTCCTGTAAACGATATGCATACTGAATAAAAAAAAGAAATTGTAATAGTTTCAGGGATATCATGTCTTTATTCTAAATATTAATTCTCTCATTTTGCAGGATCCCCAGTTCAGGGATATAAATTATCAACAGTACTGGTCTTAGTAACTCCCGGACATACTGTACGCAACCTCCAGCAAGGCAAAGGTGTGGATTCTTCATGCAAACTCTGGGAATTCCTGTCAAAATTTTCAGACGACAAGCTTTCCAGCTATCAGGAAATGTTGTCCATACATAAAAACATGAAGGTAGAAAAGGGTGGCTTTAAGATATTCAATTCTGCCCCTGTGTCGGGGTTCTGTAAAAATGGTGAGCTCTCGCCCCTTGGGGTAAGCCAGCATATTAAATTGGGTGAGTTTATTCGAAAGGCGTATTTCACACAGCTCAAAACATTAAAAACATTACCAAGAGACACCGTAACAATGGCCAATTGTGTGCAAGACCAAGCTGCTTATCAGAGCACCATGGCCTTCTTACACGGTCTGTTTTCTGAGAAGCAGTTCATTAAAGCAGGAATTAAAAAGGTCCAAGACAACTTATGTAATAGTAAAAACGGATTGCCGTGTAATTGTCAGACTCTTTCTCAACATACGGACTTTATTACAGATCCTTATGACACAGCATTAAAATATATTCCCGACATCCACACAAAATCTAACTTGGTATACACAGACACCATACAAAAGACCAGCAATCTCATAGCCAAAAATCTCAAAATCCTAAACGGTGTTTCGCAATTATGTCAAACAAATGGTGAAATTTGTAAAGATAATACTAAATGTAATGACATGTCCATGAATTCTATTGTTCAAGTTTTTAACATGTTAGATAAAAGCATTTTCAATATAACCCAATCTGCAGATTTTGTCTCGAAATCTCGTCTGTATAGCCATCCATTTTTAATGAAAACAGTAAGTCTGCTTTTGGAGCCGAAGCAAGACTTCGCTCTTTATACCATCAAAGATTTCCTTATGGTAAACCTTCTGGTAGCATTAGGGATTCCTGTTAACTCACTGCCTTCGCCAGCATCAAGAGTAGCAATCGAAGTCCATGAAAGATCGTTACGTAGCTTAACCCGGAAGAGGGTCGTTAGGGTTCTTGTAAATGGTAGAGATTATACACCTTATCTGACGGCCTGCTCGGCCGATTTTGGTCCTAATTGTGATCTGATGCTTCTCCAAGGTTTAAAATTGTATAATTATGACTTAGAATGCGGCAATTAACCAGCTCCAAAACCGTTTGGGAGCTGGATATATGATGAAATTTCCGATGAAAAGTTTCACCAATTATAAATAACTACTGGCATTTATACGCAAAGAAAAATCCGCTATTTTTATCACCGATGCATAATTCTTGTTACGCATGTACATTTAAGTCGATATAAATTGCATAAAATGTAATGTTGTAAAGTATTATACTCTTTTTTATTAAGACATTGAATTATTCTCTGTAAAAGCGTATTTAACTTGATATCTGGAATCAAACTATACATTTTTTTATTTGTTAATCCAACGAGTTTTGGATATTGTTTTATTGTTAATGATATATTTTACCGAGAACTTTTTATATTCCATTTATTTGCCAAAGGTGTACATGAGTATAAGTATTACTATGTATATATGTGTAGATGTATGGAACGGTTTGAATGCCTTCTACCAAATGATAATACATGTTAGTAAAAAGAATCTGTGCGATTTAAATACGGTGATTTTTTTAATTTTACGTGTTACTATATGAAAATATTATTTAGCTATTAGTGAATGTGTGTGTATGGTATGTGTATGTGGTTTTTTTTTTTTTTTTTTTTTTTTTTTTTGCTTGTTTTAAGAAATTAATATTTGTATGCTGAGACGGTATTCGTAAAATTCGTAAAGACCTACGCTCCAGTTAGTCTGGTTTCGTTTTATTTCTACTCATTGTATTGATACTTTGCTTTTATTGTCAAATGTGTCGTCCTTATGCCGTGTTTGCGGGGTTTTATTTTGCTAGGAAATCGATTTTGAATTTGTCTGATTGGCTGACTATAATCGATACTATTAAAATACAGATGTGACGTCACCTTTTGATGTTGGCGTACCATTATTTCAAATAATGGTACGGGCAATGTTCCAAGCGTACTACTAGTTGCAATATTGGACCGGCGTGACGTATTTCATTGAAATGCACGTGCTGGATACTGTCTGTATTTTATGTTTTTTAATGGTCCGAGTGCGAGACATTAATTAAGTAATATATAGATATTGTACGAGTGCGATAGCACGATGGCAATATCTATATATTACACAATGTCTTGCACGAGACCATTAAAAAACATAAAATACAGACAGTATCCAGCACGTGCATTTCAATGAAATACGTCACGCCGGTCCAATATTGCAACTAGTAGTACGCTTGGAACATTGCCCGTACCATTATTTGAAATAATGGTACGCCAACATCAAAAGGTGACGTCACATCTGTATTTTAATAGTATCGATTATAGTCAGCCAACCAGACAAATTCAAAATCGATTTCCTAGCAAAATAAAACCCCGCAAACACGGCATAAGGACGACACATTTGACAATAAAAGCTGGATTGACAATGTCGACTATTTATCGGATGTTGGATAACGTATTTAATTTCCCAACATATGTACACAGATGAAATTCACCAAATTCTCTCTCGACAAAATCGGGGTATTAAATAATATCCAACATTTCGTTTATAAATGGTCGACGGTCTCATCTCAGCATTACATAATGTGTAACGATTTGGGTTTGCAACTCCGTTTGACTCTATAGTACTTTTATTTGGATAGTATGGCTTAATATAGTGTGTTACTTCCCTTGTATTTGAGTATTGTGTATACATGTATTTTATTTGGATAGACAACTATAAAATCATTACGATTTACTGACAATTTACGATTTATTTGGAAAGTATGAATTTATATTTCAAGTCTGGATAGTTGGAATTTATGTTTATTTGTCTGTGTGGACTGATAATAGTGTTACGTCCCTTGTATTTGTCTATTTTGTATAAATGTATTGTGTAATTTGTTATGCGTGCGCCTATGTATAGATCTGTGTTTTTGTGTACATGACTCTCCGCTAGTCAAAGAAAAACGTCTACTGCTAGATAAGTAACGTTACGGGTGGCCTCTAATGGAGAGAATGTTTTTGATAATAATTTATTGATTTATTTAAGATCTCATATATTATACAAGCACTTGGAATTATATAGGTGCCTAAACTACACCCCTCCCTGTCATACAATAATTAGGTAAACTGTCTACTGACAAACAGTAACGTTACGGGTAGTTATGACAGAAGGGGTATATTTTTATAGTATGTTTTTTTTATATTTAATCTTTTTTAATGCAATATATAATATTATCCGTTGTGTTATTACATTTAATAAATGTGTATAACGTAATATGTTATGGATAAACCCTTTTTGTATTGGGGTTTAGAATACTAGATTGAATTTTCTTTAAGAAATGAACTTTTCGATGGTAAGAAATTTCTGTAAAGTATGTTCACTGTTGAATTACATGATTTGGTTTTTTTACAGTGTCTTTTAATCAGCCACGATTCTGTACATGTACTGGAATATTTTCTCTTTTAATGAAACATATCTGGTGTCAGGGTTATCCAATATGGTGCAATATTAACAGCAAATATTTCAGGAATCTCTCAAGAGCCCAATGCCTTAGTGTAATTTTGAGTATTGATATTATATTTAATAACTAATTATTCAGCAAATTATATTCTCTAATTTGTAATTACACACATACAGCGCTGAAATACTTTATAGCCATTGTGAAAAGAATATCCTGGCTATTACTATTCATTCAACGAGCAGTATATTTTCGTTGAGAAATACGATTCTTTGTATTTAATGCTGAAATAGAAATACATAACTCAAGTTTGTAGTTGGGGGCGGGGTGGGATGGTATGGTATGGTCGACTTTAACTGCTAAAGACTTAAGCGTGCAAGCGCACGTATTCCATATCAATAGAGATGTTTATTATTAGTTTTAAAACTTTATTATTAGTCACCGGTGATTGGTATTTGTTTTTACTACAAACCATCTGTTTTTTCATATACTTGTGTTGTCAAGGTAATAAATAACAAATATGGCTAAAAAAATAACTAATGAGATTGTATCATTGCCTACCGCTCATGGCATTTCATAATAGACAAATATTCTGAGAAACGGTGAAAGAAAAAATTCTCAATACATTCAGCTTTGTTTTTTTTAATCGTGTCCATAATAGAATATTCCCTGTTTTGTGATTGTTAATTTCTAGGCTAGGTATATTTAGATATTGTATTGCATTTTGTATATTAATGATTATGTTTTAAGGTTTGATATTTGATATACACATAGCACATTTATTGCCATTTACCCATCCAGCAGATTACTTCTTTCGACATAGAATATGTCACAGAATCTCAACAATGATACCGGTTTATGTTTGGCTTGGTGAACTTATTTTATAAATTAAATAATGTGCATCTTTAAAGTGTGTTTTGGTTGTTGTTATTTATACTAATCTACCCATATAGATGCACAATTTAACGCGTGTGCGTGGTATCATTAGGTCTGTCACTGGGTCAAGTGGTATGGTTTCGCTTCCCCGTGGTTTCGCCTGTTCAACCTTGTAGTTTTTCTACGGGTCCTCCTTTTTCGCCCCACTGCTAAAGACCTCTACGCACAAGCGAATTATAGAAATAAAAAATCGAACCACGTTAGTCCCGAAATGACCCAGTTTGTGTCGAATGAACGATAAACTCATTCTCTCTCTCGTGTCAAAATGGGGATTCAAGTAGCATAGTGTATTTTTCTAACGAGTTTTAAAGTAGCTAAGTCTCTAACTCAATATCATCCAAAATCTTCAACATTGAAAACACAAATTAATTGTCAATTTAAATCAACACTGATGCTGTGATCTTACCGTAAAAAGATGGGCTTCTGATATCCAATATTTAAGACAAAATAAACATTTTGCCATTGGTACACGAATCGTGTACCATAATGCGCTTCAGCCCCAGTTCTAGCAAGAGACTCGAGGATTAGCTAGACATATTGCACCAAACCAAACGGCGTATGTAGACTGGAATAACCAGGCGCTAGAAATTTGCATTCGATTGAGACTGCGGACTTATTTCGCGGAACATAACTGATTTGAAATTAGAGTAAAAACGGAAACCATTGAATGTATATCAGTTTATATACATTCATATTACAGTATTATATGAGTTGCAACCCACTTGTGTCAATTTCTAGGTCCCAAATGTTAGCGAGTTAGCTCCTTTAAGCAAACTGAATCACAAACGGGTGGTTTTCTTTAGCAATAAACATCATATTTCTTTCTCTTGACTCCCAAATTTTTATGTAAATTAAATCTACCAGATGTTGTGTCAAAACATTGTATATCAAACTGATTTTAAAAATCGTATTATCTCTTCAGATAGAAACACATGATGGTTGGGTATTGAGTTTGAGTGAAGGTTATCGGATCTCTGTATTCTCCTGTGTGTATAAATGTCAATCAGTAAGTGATGGTAAGACATGATATTGACAAGTAACATGTACTGTAACACTCCAACATTATCCAATAATATCATAACTTGTTGATAACAATAATACCCAATACTTTAACATGACCACGTAATTTAGTTTCATATTTTCGATTAACAACAAAACTAGAATATTCCGTCTTTTGCCGCGCCCGGTGTCCTTTTTATGGATCGTTTGTGCTGTTACGGAAGACCATTAGGGTCAATCAAATGAAAAAATAATTATATTGTGGGCAATATCTATATATTTCTCCCAAGCCTCTTTCTAATTCAGGACCTGCACTATTGGGAAGTCCATCCGGCTATCAATGTTATAGCGATGGGCTTTACAATTTGTAACAAAAAAAACCCCCAAAAACATCCCAAAAACCAAACAAAACAACTATTATATCATATAAGATTTCGCAGGCAAGTGAAACGACGGGTCCACCGTAGAACAACAATAACTAATTGAAACAGAGCAAATCATCATCAAACAATTGTTGCAATAAAACGGAATTAAATAAATATACGTTAAGCGAAATAATGAACTGAAGAATATTATACCCCATAAGATGGAGTTTGTAGTACATTATTGTGGATGGTTGGTAATAATTCATTTTAGATTGGGCCAGTCCCTATCCCTTCGGACCGTTACCATTTTACCAGACACGCTAAATTCAACATACAAACTAATCCATACACCATTTTAATATCAATTTAAGTAATTTAAAAAAATATGTGTCCCAATTAACCTCATTAACAATACAAACACTCTTATGAATCACGAAATTAAATCTGCAATCAGGAGACGGTGATTACAAATTTTGAAAGCAAATATCTAAATTAGCTTTCTACTTCCATAACTGTGTTTGCGTGTCATTTTTATCGGTGGTATTTGTTAAATTTTCCTTTCATAATCAGACCAAAATAGGTGCTGCCCCACCAATGTGTCGCCTTGAGAGATCGAAGCGATAAATTATATTGCCCAATGTCCCCGCTAACAATGCAAACATTCTTATGAATCAAGAATCTACACCTGCTTTTAGGAGGTGGTAATGGTTGATCTGCGCGTAAAAGATGAAAATTTTGTGCTTGTCGCATTCGATGTGTTCCGTAATCCGACATATTATGTTAGATGTTTGTCTATTTGACCTTAGTGTCATATTTGTTGATGAGCGAAAAAGTTTAAGTGATGAAGTTACATAAGATGCTAATACCCGTGTCCATTGTTGTAAGAGCCCGGTATATTATTAGACCAGCTATATCTATGGTGTTTACCGTTATGTACATATCATGTAGACTTACATGCTTATATTGATCAATGTTTGTCATCCTATTATATAATCTTAAATATATCCGTCTAATAATAGACTGATTTAAAGGTTTTAACCTTTATTTAGAACTATGTCACTTTATTCTATTAATAATCTGTTCCTCAAACATAATTAGATCATCTATGCGGCCCCCACAAAATATCTTTATCAGAAAATAGTCTCGTATTGCATATCTGTATCAGAAAACAGAGTCTTGTTGCATATCTGTATCAGAAAATAAACACTTAGTCCACAATAAGTCCACAACAAATTACATATGCTAAAACTTATTATAGGTGGACCAACAAGTAATATCAATTACAGAATGAATGAAATTGAAACAAATATTTTGAAAAGAAAACGGGTGTCGTGATAAATTACATTAAGAGGTTAAGAATTAGATTGGCCACCTTTAAAACGAATAGTTCATTAAAGGTCGGATAAAAAGTTCTGTTTTAGGATTCTTCTTAAAAGCGATCAAAAGTTGTGCTAGCTCACATTAGATACTACGCGTATTCTCATTTTATATAAAAAAACCCATCCAAGTTTGCCCTTGTTCACCACAGTTTCTTTTATACGTATTCACAATATCTTACATGTAAAAATATCCTCCTGTAATACTCCGTCTATATACACAGCAAAGGTTGGCAATCCCGTGGACATTTTTTGTTACTTAACTTGTTCAGGTTAAGATTTTTTAATCCGTAAGAACTTAATCTTCAGTGGCTTATTTGTTTTTCTTTTGAAACCAATAGCTTTGAAGTCTTTAAAAACGATTAGCGTTGAACTGTTAATTGGATGCTAATCGGTATAAGATTTGAACGGCAACCGATTGGTAGAAAAAAAATGAACTTTAACACCCCGCGATTCAATTGTTTCTATATAATAAATGAAATGAATGGTGTTTAACGTCCTACTGTTCTGCTCCGAATTGGGCTAATGAAGACGGGCATACGCCATACGCCATACACCCCGCGATTCAATTGCTTCTATATAATAAATGAAATGAATGGTGTTTAACGTCCTACTGTTCTGCTCCGAATTGGGCTAATGAAGACGGGCATACGCCATACAGTGTGCTATGAGGGAAATTTTGCCCGGACAGCGCACTATGGCCTACTCTTATATCAAATTCAAACTGTCAAGGGATCGTTTACGTGCACGCCAATGTGTACACGGGACCTCGGTTTTTCGTTCCATCCGAACGACTAGACAGCTGTCCTTGTCAGACCCTCCATCCTGCATCACTAGGTGTCGTTAATGTTCTCAAAAATACAACGTGACTAAGTGGGTAAATTAAAAATCAAGAATTAAACATTCATCGGCATTTATACGAATTAAAATGAAATAGTTCGTATCATATCTGCTAGGGGATGAAGAGGTTTAATGTCTTGTCACCACAATATATCGGTTATTTTGAGACTAACATATTATGGTATAAATAAAAAATGCCACTAGCACTTCTCAAATAAATTCAAATTATTTCAAAGTCATTATTAGAGTAACAATATGTGAAATTTCCCAGGTATACATGTTAAAATGACATAATGTAATAATATCTGAACGTTACCAGGTATGCGTGTTAAAATGACATATTAGTGTAATAATTTTACCAGGTATGTGTGTTGAAATGGTATATTAGTGCAAAAATTGTGTGAACTTTACCAGCTACGCGTGTTAAAATGGCATATTAGTGTAATAATATGTGAACTCTACCAAGTATGCGTGCTAAAATGATATACTAGTGTAATAATATGTGCATTTCACGAAGTATGCGTGTTAAAGTGACATATGACTGTAATACTATGTGAACTTGAACAGGTATACATGATAAAATAATCTGGGAGATACATTTTCGTGTATACGGGCCGAGTTTTATCTCACCGTCTTCCTCGCTGGTTCCCCGACTGATGCGGACAACTTACCTTTTGCGATTTCGAGAGAGAGAGAGAGAGAGAGAGAGAGAGTCTAAACCACACCAGTTGACTCAATAACAGGCCTTATGATACAACGCGCACGCGCTAACCATTCGCCGCCACCCCGTGAGGTTTGTGCATTCAGAAGTTCAAATAGCCTGAACATTTCCATGATTCAACTATGCGTGTTAGTAAACTATTTACATGCTTTACGTTAAAAAAATTTAAAATATCAAGCGTGCCGGTTATGTTTCTCACTATTAACAAATGGGTTTGGCACGATCAACTTTTACATAAAATTCGTTAATTATTAGGGTAGTGTTTAGTTAGTGTCTAACTAAATATTTTGTATTCCCAGGTTTAGAGTGAAATTTATTGTGTTTCAGATCAATGACTGACACCCATTGTCAAGAACGAAGTTTTTATACAATGTCACAAAGACGAAAAGAGGGAGACTGGATTGACAAAGAATAATAGATTATTCTTATCCACTTGTAGATTAAAATAGTCGCGATTGTGTGTGTGTTTTTTTCAAAAGTTTTAAACTCTGTGTTCAGAATTTGCTACTTAAAGAAAAGAACAATTAAAGCCGGCTACGAAAATATCCCCCGGGTGAATTAAAAAAACAAGTAATCAAAACGGATTCAGTTGTTAGATTTTAAAGGGCTAATCACCTTAATGAGATTTAAAAATCTTAAGTCATTAAATCAATACTGTACTAATGAACACAATACAAAGTGTAAAGGCAAAATAGGCTTGGTTTTTGACTTCATTATTATACGATTTCTTTAAATCATCGATTAATTTACTTATGTCGCATAAGACCCCCGCCTTTCTCTTTTATTTGATATGCCTGCGTTTATTTATAAATTCTAGTGATTTAAACATGTTAATATTGTCTGAGATATCACCCGAGGTGGAAGCGGACATTAAGCCTTAAGGAAGGAACGAAAGAACGATCTAATGGTTCATCTGTTATATGTGCGTCATTCTTTATTTGTTGAAATTTACACATAAATAAATAAGTCCTATTTGTTATATCTGATAATCACTTTTGTAAATATTCATTATTTTAAGAAATGTCATGGTTGGTGATATTACTTCCGGGCGTTAAATCAAGTTATTTCAGACATTTCTTTCGTAGCGTACAAGGATTGCCCAAACTTCTTGTCTACGATATCTCAGATTTTGTGCAGCTTGACAAAACATCTTCTTTTAAATTTACATTTTATAAGACCAAGAAGGCGGAACGTGTGCTCTCAATGGGATGAGTGCATATTCAATAATGAATTATAGATCTTAATAAATGGCATAATTTGAAAAAAAAAAGAAATATCATAATACTAATGATTTTCTGTAATTCGAAATACCATATAATAAAATAGTTATCACTAATAATAATTGAATAATGGTGCATATACAGAATACCCGTTTAAGCGTATAGAAATAACAAGTATTTACTAACTTCCCGTACAGCGTCCCGCGAAACTATTTATCAACAAATGACTTTAAATGACTTTAGACCAATCTTGTTCAAACGAAGAACAAGTGTGCAGTAAGATAAGACAATTTTACAATAATTTTATTAAACAAATGGCAGTGACCATATGCATGAAAACAGCGTGGTTTATTTCTGTATAAGGGGATCAATTGGATAATCGGGTCTACGATCATTATCGTTCAGTCTGTTGTTAAATCTTAATTCCCACACCTCACTATTACGATACTTGGTTTGGAAACTGGTGTGTGACGATGGGCTACTCTATGTTGCTCGTGAGTATAGTTAATTGACGGGGATTACCTGAAGGCGAACATTGTTTGTTATTGGTCTGAGGAGTCGAGGTGTCGATAGACACGTCTTAATAAGCTGACAAGTCAATTATACACCATCTTAGGTAGTAAAGGACATATATATATATGTATAGTGTTTTCAACTTTTTTATGTGACAGTCAACAATATCGGACATTTTAACGGATGTTTTTACTCACGGACAATTTTGTGAACCGGTTTTTAGCAAAGTGTGTTTTAGTGAATGACTTGGAGTATACTAGTACGTATATACACATGTTCAGCGAGGATGTTCAGTGTGGAACAGATTGACGAAGACAGTTGAATTAGGCTTTTAAAATGTAATATTTATGGAGATTTAACAGGTAAATGAAATTTTATATTACCCATATCGAATGAAATTAGTGCTGATCACACTGCTTTGATATTTCAGCCTAATACATGCTTCGGTTTCCTTCACTGTAAAAGTGTGGGTTAGTTTGCGACTGGAGACCTCGATCACAATTATATTTTCAGTTCCTCTATCATGATGTCTGTCAGGACGTTAGTGCAAGTTTCGAAGCAATTTTCCATTAAATTTCAGTAACAGATCACGGTAATAGGTGTTACTCATGGATATAAAATACAGTATCCCCTTCATGGATTACAAAACAAGATAGGAGCCACGGTGGCTAAGTGGGTAAGACGCTGTCTCGCTAGTCTGAAAGTCGCGGGTTCGCTCCCGGTGTTAGCATAGAAAGTTCATCGGTATTTTCCGGCGTGGTTCCCCTTGTCAGCGGTGCATGGCGGAAGGCCTGACAAGAACTGCTGTCTACCGTTCGGATGGGACGAGAAACCGAGGTCTCGTGTACACGTAAAAGATCCATTGGCAGTTGGAATTCGATATAAGAGTAGACCGTGGCGCCGCTGTCCAGGCAAAATTTCCCTCATAGCACACTCAGTATGGCGTATACCCGTCTTTATTAGTCCAATCGGGGCGGACCAGTCGGACGTTAAACGCCATTTCATTTCATTTATGTTGATTACTAGCTCAAGAACAAAAAATCTGTTTCCAATTCCCTAATTGTCGCGAGACCATGTCGTCTCGGGTTAGGGTCTATAGCCTGAAGAACCAATAATGCGACATGGTAGGAAATGAGGTCAGTGAGGATATTCTGTGTATATGTCATTGTAATTGCTTTGATTCTCAAATGATTGCAGCTACCGTCGAATCTAATATCCACATTAATGTGGAATATTATTTACCCCTCTCGTGGGAAAGAGCTCGATTATATTACGTGGAACGGATTACTGTATTTGACAAAGTTTGTAATATTTTAATACTAGCAGGATATCCGGCTTCGCCCGGGTCCCAAATTCATCCGAGGCCTAAATTCGCCCTCGGCCCAAATTCGTCGGGGGACCAATTCGTTGGGGTCCCAAAATTCGATGGCCTAAAACATTCGAGGGGCCATGCTGTTTAATTTGATACCACATAATATGAGGGGGCAGGGCGCGCGGTGACGAAGCGTTATTCGCCCGGGGCCCAGGCCCAATTCGACCGGTGCCCAAATTCGATGGGCTAAAACATTCACGGGGTCATGCTGGTTAATGTGATATCACATAATGTCGCGGTTGATCGCGACAACGAAGCGTGATGGGCCAACACACACACAGACATCTTAGATTTTATTTATATAGAATATATACCAGTATGTAATTATGGTCATTAATAAAATATGGACTTAGTTACTTGACTTCAACAGACCAAAAATAAAAATCAAGCAATTGTTTTTCTATGCACTTGCGAAAAAATCATTTCTTGATAGTGATGGGTATTTTTAATGATGAATTGGGCTTCAACAGAAACCAATTTGTTCCTCTATAACTTAGTACTAACTCGATTTACATTTTGAAAATCCAAGCCATGTTTAAGTGTGAATATAGAACGTAAAAATCATTTCTTGGTAGTAATAGATATTTGTTATTATGAAATGAGTTTAATTAAGACCGTCTATTATTTGATTAAAAGGATTATGTCAGATAAGACAATGTACCGTCATTAAACCATGAGAAACCCTGGCTATCATACCGCGTATAGTAAATCTGCAATTATACAGTGCATTGTGTAGATGCTATTATTTGTACTAGATATATTAATTATAGATATGAAAAGTACCTATATATTGTTTCTGATGTATTGTTTGTGAGTTTGAACAGGTGTACAGGTGGGATCAGACAATACATATTAACTATTAATATATGTATTCATATATGCACATTGATTTCTAGAGAATAGACGTCGTACAGTAATATATCTAAGATATATAATGCGGTATTAATTACTTATATGTAGTAAAAAAGTATATACATTTATGTATATATATCTGATTATGTTCTTTTACTTATTAATCGGACAATGAAGTAATAAAGTCCTAATCATAAGTTCGTCTCTGTATTTTAAAGCATGGTTAACATAGGCATTAAGAACACTTTCTGTATATCTCTGGGTGTATGGGTCGAGGTGCAATATCATTGTGGTTTAAAAAGTATTAAGAGACATGCTACCTAACTCCAAGTGCATGGGTCGAGGAGAAACATAATTGCGATTCCAGAAATTTATGTCTTACGATTCAGTCCAACCCCACGACGCATATCCACTTAGCTATCCCCCAAGGTATTACGAAACATTCTAAGCAACTATGAGTGCATTAGTCGAGAAAAAATATCATTGAGACTCAAAATCTCACAATTTAGTCCAAACCCCACGACCCATATCCACTTAGTCATTCCCGACATGCTGAGGACATATTAGCACCTTATAATGTATCAATCGCCACCTTTCACCTAACGGTATACAGAGGAGTGAAAATATAAGTAACAATAACGTATTTAGTACAGCTTATATATACATTAACAATAGATAGTAATAAATAAACAAAGATTCACATCAATGAAGGTAAAGAAACAATGCTATTATACTAGCTGGACCAGTTTGGACATGAGCTTACTAATTATTGACTTTAATAAAGACCATCTTTGTTCTTAGTTTTTTAGTGTCTGTGTGAAGTGCGTGGTCAGTATGGGTGTTATTGGGATTAGGGATTATGGTCTCTCCAATGACCGGTGTCAATGTCGCCCATTCATTCGATTGTTACCACAAGTATTTAGATGATCTAAAAGACCCCTGACAATGTACTTCATATAAATTATCTGGGAGAAAGAGACAAATAAAGTTTGAGAGATTGAGATAGAGAGAAACAAATGGGTTTCAACGCCAACGCGGCGTCATTTCGGAAATAAGATACATTTATGGTTCAATTTTATTTCAATAATTCGCAGGAAACTGCATTACATGCGACCCCACTCCTTGGATCGCACAAGCGGGGAATCTAAGCCACACTACTTGACCCAATGACAGATCACGTGATTTAAAGCGCACATGTTAAACCATTCCGCACCCCCACGCCCCATTGGGAGAAACAAATTTTTTAATGACACTGGCACACATAGACGGTACTCAAAAATACAAGATCATTTGACACATTTATCCGCGATGGAGTTCACCCCACACAATTACACAAAACAAATCTACGGACAAGACACAATACGCAGAAATCACAAACAACCGCACATATCAGATTGAGTGAATGGATCCGGGGGGGCTAGCCATAAGCGTCCACTGCGCTGTACAATCAGTAGTGATAACTTATTGAAAAAATGAATACTTTGGTTAAAAGTTATAATTATTAACTATTTCATTTACCAAATTAACCTAGATGTGGGTTGTAACTTGTACTTGTATGTCCACATTATATAGAATATTGTATAGGTATACTAATATAGGATTTATTTATGTTTTACAACAGTGTCATATGTTTCTTTCTTCAAATTCCCCAAACTGTAATTTACATTTTGTTTACATTTACAAGCCCCATGATCCATCAGTTTAGTTTTTAAACTATTATTATTTACGCATCATTAAATAAACACATAGAAATATAATTAGGCGTACACCATTATAAAGTGCAAGATGACCAGCTATTTAATGGCCAAAAAGATCCCTGACACTACCTGTCAAATCGTGACATTCATCTTTTATATACTGATATATATACAATAAACTGACTATGTTGTTAATAGCGCTATTATATTGGTAAATAATGGTCTAGTCGTTCCATCTATGAAAATTATAATTAAAATGGCTGTAGAAAGGCACCCTTGACTAATACCTACTTCATGGTGACTTTATTAAAAGCTACACACTGTGTTCAGTGGGGATGGTCTACAAGTTAAGGTAAATAGATATGTCAGTGGGGAGTTACATAAATGGATAATGCTATAGTGCTGGGTAAATATTGTTACTCAGTGCACAATATTTAAGAATAATATATGAGAAATCGTCAATACTGTTACGTTTCCCGATACTCGTGAAAAGCTTTCTAAACATAATTTACATTTACCTACCTACACATGGTGGGCTCGATCAATAGTTGATGTATTATAAATTTCTATTTTTCCCGCTGTCATTTAGGTTTTACGAAACAAAGTGTGACGGTTTGATATTATGCATGGATGACATAATAAAACCCCTAAGCACAAATGAATTATTTAAATAAAATTGTACCACGTGCGATTCATGAAATGACATAGTTTGTGACGAGTGGGTGTTGAACCCGTTTGTCTCTTCCCATGTTCTTGGTGAAAGTGCAAATATCCCTCTAAGACATTATACTAGTAATTACAGATTTTAATAATAAAAATTTCATTCTATTTTGCAGGAATTAATATAGAAAATCAGACCAGATAAATAATGTCAAGATGGAGACGATTGGAATTCGATACAAAGAAAATGAAGACCCTGTGCTGACGAAATTGCAGCAATTATTGATGAACGTTCAATTCAACAAAAAACAAGAGATAAACTTAAACAAAATACGACGCAAGTTTTATTCAACGAGCACGCCGGTAAGTTGTTTTAGAAGAATATTGTTGGACTGGCCGAGAAATAAATATTGCACTAAAACATGGATTATAATCCATCAGTTCTTCTTTTAAAAAGCAACAGGAGAGATATGATTTATTATTATTTATTTGAGTTTTCAAATGGTGTGAATAATCAATGACTTGTTGATAACTTATTTATACCGACATGTTTATTTCGGAAGCTCGTGATACGACGAATGAAATGCGTGTTTTTATTTAGATAAATCCTTTCTTCCCCTTTTTCTTCCTCTGTTTGTTGATTTTCTAGTTTTGGCAGAAAGGTTTTAATATATATTTTCTGCCATATTTCGGTGAATATTTCCGAATTTATAGGCCAAAGTATCAAGAGCTAAAAGGCATCAATTGGAGAAATTCTCTAGTAAAACAAACATCATCTTTCATTTTATTTAACCTGGCATGACCAGATAGTTGTTTTCACGACTTATATTATACAGATTAAACCCAAATGATTTTAATGAAACAAAACAAAAACGAGTGTGGACCTAATTATGCCATGAAATTAGTATTATAGTTAATAGTAAATGCCAATGGATAAAGTAACTATGGGTCGATCCAGAATGGACTGGGGGGGGGGGGCAGACCACCATTAAATTTCACCATCCCGGTACCCACAAATTGTAGTTCGTCTTTTTAAAGCAATTCACTCTGTGTCTCTTTTCTCCCCTTTTGCATGCCCATTTTTGTTGATTTTTTGGTCTAGAATGGACGTTGAGGGTTTGAATTACAATTTTCTGTCAGGTTTTGGTAAATACTTATGACCAGTTGTTTCTCAGTCTGTAGAGAAAAACATTCAGTACAGCGAAAATTTGGCGAAAAGTTGGAGCCGGGCAGAGGCCAGAATTAACATTGAAGTCCACGGGGAAATTAATGGCGGTCTGTCTCCATTGAAGTGAAACATGCGTTATCTCCCTTGCACTGTATTGATCCGTGTAGGAAGCACTGGAACGACGGCCGTGCAGGTGTGGTGGATTTGCTTTCACCTCTGCTCGCCGACTGGTAGTCTAAGTTATCTAACTCGATATTTTTTTTTATTCCCTTTGGATGTGTTTTGTTGGGGTTTATTTTTTGTCTTGTTAAAGAATACGCCAGAATGTCACGTAGACATTCTTAGTGATTGAAATGCCAATTTTCGTCTTGAGAAATTATTCTCATCAAACGAATCGCTAAAATCTATTGCAGTGGCATAGCCAGAGTGGGATATTAGGATGCTCGAGCCAAAGTTCGGCTTCTCCCTAAATATTTTTATTCTTTTGTGTGATATTACTGTTTCGCCCGTCGTATACAAGAATTCCATTTGACATTTGAAAAGTAGACGACACTAAATGAAACAGAATATCAAAATCACAATTTGCTCTGTAGAGCATGCCGTGCAAATCCGAGTAGCCCCTTTAAACATGCATTATGCAAGAGCTAAATCTTCCTATTGCAGTTCTGTCTTTGAGCCTGAAATGTTATCTAAATTATTAATTAGACATTAATTAACTTATCCAGACCATAATCAACTCTCGATCCCATCGTTATCCCGTTCAGAGTGAAGCAATTTGACTGAAATTTTCAGCATATTTTGTTTTCATTATATTATATATAACATTAATAAAGTATTATAACGAGAACTGCCAGCTCTTTATCTAATCTTACTTAATGCCCCTTTAACAGATTCATGACTACTGCGTTGTCGCTAATGTCCACTTGAATATTTCATTCTTCATTACAATGGTATATTATTTCAGAATTCGTAACCAACATAGATTACAATATTTATAGTGTCATGCTCCAAGAGATCAAAGTATACACAAATTTGAAAAAAAAGGATAATGATAAGGGTCAAACAGTACAAGAAATCCTTCAATATTTATTTAAACTGAGTTAACAAATTATATTCCATGTAAATATTCGTAACTTATGATATTTTGGTAGTCTTTTATGAAGGAACACGTAGTGGACCTCATTAATTCAGCACGAAACCCCATAATCCACCCCTTGTTTGTCGTATTGTTGAAAACTACCGATATTTATAATTGTTTTTTTTAGATACTATTCTAGGGGCGGATACATGATTTTTTTAAAAGTGGTGTGCTTCTTCCAGCTGAGTATAGTCGTTAAAAAGGACTTTCAGAAGGATCAAGTGAAATTTATTGTTAGTTTTTTTATCATTAATCCTTTGAACACTGCCGGGATACATCTGTACCATTGCAATGAAATTGTTACATTTTGTAACAGTACAAAAGCCCATCTTAAAATTCACCAGAAACAAATGAAACTTTGCAAATCTTTGTGAAAAATGCCATAAGAAGAAAATTAATCTATCTCCAAGTGGGATAAAAATCAGGTTTGTCATATTGGGGTAAAAACCATAAAATCTTTGACGTTTTTGTCGAATTGTAATCTGAGCTAAACTGGAATTAACATCTTGAGGTTTGTAGCGAGCTTCAATATCCATGTGTTCATTATCGTGATATATGAACTTGTACTCAACGGTCCGACATTGATGTAGGTGTTAATGAAAATGGGGCACAAATCCCGCCATTAATACCCCCAGGTAGAATTTCAGGTCAACAACTAGTAAAAAGTTCAGTTAGTTATCACACTAGAACATCTATAATGTTACAGTAATTGTACTGGACCTACTTGAGACTAATTGAACTTCTACTAACAAACACTGCATTGTGTAAATAGTTTCAGGTCGCTGGATATGCGAAATGAAGTATACAACAATTGAATATTGAATTTAGATGATAAAAGAAAAGTTATAAATTACAGGGACCAGACAATGACTATCCACATAATCTAATAATATATTGGTCATTGACATATTGACACAAAAAACACAATGCTACCAACATACACTAGACATCGGAAGGAATTCAAATATTTAACGTACCAATCTCGTTCTGGAGACCCAACTTACAATACACAATAATCCTAGAACAATCTATTTTTGTACGTCATAGATTACATGACACATCTTGCGGAGCTAAAGTACACCCCACCCCCAAAAATCAATAACTAATGGCACGCCAGTAAAATTAAATTGTTCTTTCATGTGGCACAATTGGGAAAATAAAAGGAAATTTGGATTTGTCATGCACCTATTCCTGGCACATTTCTTGTCGCAACGTTGCATCCTTTACTTCAGTTGTGACCGCCTCATCGTCAGGCAATCCTGCACCCAATCAAGAGTTTTGCCAGAAGCCGCCGTTTCTGATATTTTGTATAATTACTGACTTTGAATCAGGGATCGTAAATCTTCAACAAGGTCTTATTGTGGCGTACCAGAGGCTACCCTACAGGTGATCAACGTCATAGTAAAGTGGGGAGACTAAATGGTATTTCTGGTTTGCGGCTTTGCAAATTAATGAACTAAATCAAAACGAGTAAACTTTACGAGTCTACGGCACAAAGAATCATGGCTTTGAACTTAAATGTGTACCAGGTGTATGTACATGAAACATTGCTAAACACCCTATTTCCTAATCAAATCACCACTTATTGTATTAATTATTTTTATTTGACTACTATAATTGGTATTTGAGCTTTAATAATAAAAAACTCATGACAAAAGAACATAAATTGATATTCGCCTCAATGTTGTAGATTGTAAAAATCTACCATAAGTGGACAACGTCTAAAGCTCAGGGGCAGAAAACTCACGATTCTGAAAGTGATTCATTCAGATTTATCTTGTCGATGTATTCAACGGATGAATTGAGGACTATCGAGGGCAGGTTAACGGCCATTTCCCCCCGGAGCATAAACAATTTAACCACGGTGATCAGATACTATCAAGGCTATCAAATATCAATAGCATTGTCTGTCACATGTCCGAGCAATGGATGAATGGACAAACTGGACGTTGAAGTGGCCAGAAACACGCCGTTGTTTGTATACACAGTGTGCAGTTTTCCATCAGCAAAGAGTTGATGGCTATATGAGATCTGTTCCGCGTTAAATGCCTTACCCTGAACCCCAGAACTGGCCTTTTCACAAGTTTGTCGACTATTTGTCCTGTAAATACGTCAAAGTTCGGCAAGTTTAAAAGGCAAATATATTTTTTCTGTACCCACGACTGCGTCTATTTTGTGTTCTGGTTGGTAACAGACTTTAGAAACTGAATTAAGATTTACACATATAGATATCGGACATTTTCATTAATCCTCTTTATAAGATAGAAATCGTGTGTACGATGCAGTATACGATTTCGTTAAGACAAGTTATCGCTCGATGTTGTGATAGAGGGAGTTCTAGCCTTTTTTATACGCCCACATTGAAATGTGGTCGTAAATTGTCGTCGCACCCCGTCCGTCCGGCGTCCACAATTGCATGACTTAAAAATTATACACAGTGTTTAATGTCATGAGACAAAAAATCCTATTGATTTTCAACGATTTCCGATAACTACTGCCAGAGTTATGGCCCTTGATCACTTTGAAAACTCTTGTGGACGCTCTAGAGGCGAAAGTCAATATCCGATTGACTTTAAATTTATACACGGTGTTTAAGGTCATCAGACGAAGAAACATTGATTTCCAACGATTTCCGTTAACTACTGCCAGAGTTATGACCCTTGATCTCTTTGGAATATCTTGTGGACGCTCTAGAGGCTAAATTATATATCCGATTGTCTTTAAAATGATACCCAGTATTTAAGGTCATGAGACGAAGAAGAATATTGATTTTCACTGATTTCCGATAATTACTGCCAGAGTTATGGTACTTGACCATTTTGAAGCACCTTGTGGACGCCTTAGAGGCTAAAGTTAATATCCGATTGACTTCAGTTTTATACACAGTGTTTAAGGTCATGAGACGAGGAAGCGTATTGATTTTCAACGTTGTCTGATGATATTTACTGCTAGAGTTGTGGCCCTTGATCACTTTGAAAAATCTTGTAGACGCCCTAGAGGCTAAAGTTAATATCCGATTGACTTTAAATTTAGACACGGTGTTTAAGGTCATCAGAC